TGGGCGTTAAAGCTAGCGCGAGGCTTAGCGCTTAGACAAAAGCATCTTGGGACAACGCCTGAAGTGTTTGTTTCGGCAGTCATATCCTAGGCACGTTTACGGCACCCACTCGTACTCCACAACCATACACACACGCACACATTCACACACAGGCATATGTGAAAGTAAACCCATAAGGAGCAGCTTATTATTAAGTGAGGCTTGTGGCTCGTATTTGCTTTGCTTCAACTGCCTCGTATTTTTACATTGGCCATCGGTAGCTCTGGCCATATGCCAGAGGATTTTGTGCAAACAATAGGTACAAGTGTGTACTTAAGTACCATACACACACACACACACACACACATGCACAAAGCATACATATGGTTGCGTGTCTTATGTGGTGCTCAAATCATTTTGCGCATTTTAATTAACTTGCTTTGATACGTGCGAAGTTTTATGAATTTCAGCCAAAGTTTTCCATTTAGGCATCGACAGCGAAAAGCTTGGGAATTGTTCAGAATTCTTTTCTACTTGGATTTTCGTTTAATGCAAGGTTTAAATCAGTCAAGGTTTAAGGATTAAACCAACATAATTTTTAATATTTATAATTAATTTTTATAATTAATAAATCAAAGCGATTATGACTAGTTTGATAAATGAAATAAATTTCATATGACTAGATAATAATATTTGAATAGTTTTTACTTTCTCAACTTAATACTTAGGTAGGTATACCAAAAGAAGAATAAAAACACCAAGCGAAATAGCATACGATAGATATTTTTTCGTTTGAATAATATATAGACATTTCCAAATATCTTTATCTTTATCACGAATTCAACTTCATGCTTCAAGAACTATTAAATGGCTAAATAACTGTTCTTTTATTGTATAACTGGCATTGGTAGTGAAATAGTTATATGATATACGTGACATGGCTGTGCGATAAGTTCAGGAATTATTTCAAAAAGTTTATACCAAAACTTTCAGAGCACACCCACACACACACAAACACACACACACACATACTCACACTTCAATTAATAAAGCTTAAACAAAGATTTTAATAATTCTAATGCTGTCACGTTAAATAAATAAAACAGTTCATCTCGAATGTTGAAACTAATTTATTCGACTTGCTTTAACACACACACACACACACACACACACACATAGAGCACGACTGGAGATTTGAGAAGCACTTGAGTAATTTAGCAATCATTTTGGGTTTTTCTTTGCTCAGCTTCTAGCTTGATTACAGAGTGGAGCGCCGAGTCTGAGTCATGGCGCACTAATTAGACAGTCCAATCAATTAGTGCCTGGTGTCGAAATCTAATAATATAATTGCCACCTGGACCGTACAACTTACCCTGGGTGCTGTTGCTGTGGCTGCCATTGCCGCCGGCGGTTCCATTGCCGTTGCTCTTGCTGAAGCTGCAATTGTTGTTCAGCGAGTTGAAGAAATTGGCGGCGCCAGTGCGCCGTAAGATCCAAAACATATTGCGAGCTGCAGCTGCAGCGGATGCTGTCGATGTTGCTGATGTTGTTGCTCTGATATGTTGCACCAAAAAAGTATGCTACGAACTAAGCGCAACGCAGCGACGGCATTTCGAAGGCGTCTGCTGATAAGCGCGTCGATACAGCGATACAGCGACTGAGGGCGAGAGCGAGAGCGAGAACGAGAGCGAAGGCGGGAGCGAGAGAGAATGAGATGCCGACGCGATATGAAGAAGCGTTGCCCCACAATTCGCTGCTGGCAGCTGTTCCGTGGCGTCGCGTCGTCTGCAGCTAACTGACTGCCATTGGCACTGGCGCTGCCGTTTTATACGAGCCGACAGGCAAGAGCCAAGGAATAAAGAGAGCGCCGAGCCGAGAGAGCGAGCAAGCGAGCGAGCGAGCCTTTGGCTTACGTTGAGCGGCACGTAACGTAAGGCCAGTCCTTACGTAGCGAACTGCTCTTTTGCTGGCACGGGCAGGCCTGGCCTGGCGTATGCTAAATGCTGAACTTGACCTTCGTCAACAATGGTGGACCCCAAATATTTTGTTGCACTCAATTGTTTTCATTTCCTTCTGTCTTTAAGTCACGTAAATGCGCACGACTATGCTAGGAATTTGATGGTTGATGCCCGTACGTCGTGTTGGCCATCAATAAGCAGCAACCCGGAAGACGGCCGCCTCTCAGCGGCATTTAAAATTTGGCCAGCACGCACTTGGCGCACCAGGCACACAAGCCACGCCCCGTGCCTCATAAATTTTAACCGCCCACCGCACATGTAGCACAACAAAGCTTAGCCGTTTACACGAGCATTTGCCCTGCGGAGACACAGGTTCATGCCCCGTCAATTGCCGCTTTTAGTTGCGTTCTGCAACGCGTTGAACGCCAGCGACGCACAACAAAGCGATGTGAGGACTTACGCTCTAATAACTTTTACTTGCACTTAGCCTAGCGCTGCGATTCTGTTTGTATTGCCACGCCCAACTACGCCCAACTGCAACTTGATACGCCAATGGATGGGTTCAAGCGATATGTTTGCCTTGAATAAGCGCTGCCATGGGGCAAGCACCACAGTTGTACTCGAATTTCAAGCCGCGCCAGCCTTGAATTGTGATTTTAGTTACTATTTTACTATTAAAACTTAATTTCCATTTAAATTGAATATGTATTATAATAAAATTTAATTTTGCAATTTAAAGAGAATTTTTGATAAGAGTTGAGAATGCTACGAATGTGGCTTGAGTTAGCCCAAGAGCAACAGCATCTTAATATTTCTAATGGCCACACCCCAATGGGTAGGCCATTTAATTGATAGGCTTAAGACTAGAAGCAGCCTTTCAACTGTAAAATTGAATTATTTTAGCTAAGATACATAAAATATAAAGTGCTTAGCAGAGTTCAGCGTTCACTCATAAAATTTCATTTTCAAATTATAATATAATAAATCAAAATTAAATAGAAAATAAATGAAATTATTAAATTATTATTTTGATTAAATTCCAATGGCAAGATGGACGAATGGAAAGCAGAACTGATATAATACATATATATATATATATTTCATATTTCATCTTTATTATTTATTCATCTTTACCTCTGATATGACCTCCATTTTAAACATGCATATATATTAGGCCAATGCAATTTACCTGGCTTTAGTTTATGTTTCCCCAAATAACACAAATGTATGTCAGCAGAAATATTTGCGATATTATTGTATCATGTGTGCAATTTCAGTTGATTGTGGATTATATTATTGACACGCAGCCTGCAATGCGCTTTTGGCAATTGTGCAAAATATTGTAAATAAATTCTAGCATAAGCACAACGGCAATCGATGGCGGCCCAAAATGTGCGTGTGTGTGTGTGTGTGCGGCTCATTAAATATGTATTGATGTGCAAATTAACAATTCATATGCCACAAATTGCCAAGCGTAAAAGTTTTTGCCATTGGCCTGCCATGAAATATTCATTTGATGCGTGCCAAAGTCAAAGAGACAAGTGAATTGTTATCCATATCAAATGCCATTTGAACTCTGACTCCAAGTGTTGTCAATGTTGCATGAATTATACATTTCCCTGGCCCCATGCATGTTCTATCCAAATAAAACTATATCCGAATGCTATCATTTTTTTTTCGTAATTAGACAGTTTGACGGGTGAGCCGGCTTGAAGGCAGCAAAAGTTCGCATTGAAATGGTCAGGCAAAGGTGATTTTTCATGAAATTTAATGAGCGCTTGATTGGACTTGTTTTATTTGGTATTCAGGCCATTTCTTAAAGACAGTCAGTAAAATAAATGAAAGGAAACTTAAGAAAGTCCTAGTATTGGGCACTCTACTAAAAGATATTCTGAACTTCCGGCACTGTTTGGCTTGTATTGAGCTTAGGCCTTTCAACAACGGCATACTCGATCGAAGATATCTGAATCCCTGAGCAGCCTAGACTATATTTGGCGAATCTTTGTTAACCTTTTTGGAACTCGACCATTTACATCTTAGTAAAAAATGCAATATACTTCACAGCTTGGCTACAGAAAGTCGAGAAAGAGATACCTAAAGTATAATAAGCATCACAAACTAATACATACAATACGATGACGATTCATAAACCAATAATTCAATGATTGGAGTATGAATAGAGGTTTCAGAATATCGCCTAGTCGGCTGCTTCTGACTAGAGGCCTTAAATAATATTTCGTCAGCACACAAAGTCAACCAGAATAAACTTTTGAATACAGCCCTATGGAGCAATCCTCAGTCAAGATAATTGGTTATTATATACACCAACCAACTTTAAAACAGTGGCACTAAAATAGACAGTAATATTGTTTATTCAGCTCGAATATTTCCAGTATAAAAAGCATAAGCCTGTCGTAAAGTTGCAGTTTGATAATACTTTACGAACAGTGCCACAAAGCTGAAGCCGCAACGTAATGGCGCTTAATAACTATGCAAACAAGCATTGCACAGGTGACAGCTGGCTGGCCCAAATGCAGAGCGGAACAGTCGAGAATTCACAGATGCAGCCAGTAGTAGTCGAAACTGAAGAGGATAACGGGATACTTAATTCGATTGTCTGGGATCTAAATCGACTCTTTCCATTCAGTAACTATATCACATACTCTGGGCTCGGTACAGAAGTCTCTTATGGATACATTTCATCGGCCGGTGATTGTTGAAGGCCCTGGGATCGGAAGAATGAAAACATTAGAGATCGAAGATAAAAAATATTTAAATATAGATTCTCTACGGAAATTCATATTCACTAAGGCACAAGTTGTTGGTATTTCCATATATATATTTATATATGCAGCAGTAATGAATATATACATACACATACACATACATACAGTTCGGTTTAATAGTAATTGTAGCAGCAACTCTGCTGCAGGAATTAATAAAATGTAATGCCGAAGGGGGCAGTTGCAACGTAATGGTAGCTAATCGCTATATAAACAAGGAATCAACAGCTTTCAAATGGCTAGTCCGATTGACCAATAAAGTAGTTGAAAATTTGCAGTCATGAGGTGTGCAAGCTTCTGTCTCTGGTGCTGCTGCATTCTGATGCTGGTGGCTGGCCAACTAAAGCCCATTGTGGAAGCTGAAGAGGATAATGGAATACTTATTGCGATTATTGCAGAGGTGGATCGCTTTGCGCTGCACAGGAACTTTATCACGTACTCTGGACACCAAGAGCACAGCCTAGGTGCCTTACAGCACTCGTTAATGGAAACCTTTCATCGCCCGTTGATTGTGGCCGGACCCGAGATAGGACTTCTTCATAATATCATTACTGATCGCAATCTGATATTGATTTTCTTAAATGATCCTCCCGATGCTCTGCTAAGAAGTGTTGATCAATCCTTGACAAGCATCAAGGATGTGTCTACTATATTTGTGTACAAAATCAAGGATAATATGCTACCAAAATATTTTGTGGAATTTCTCTTCAACTGGTGCTTGGACAAGGACATACATAATGTTTTGCTGTTGCTAAGGTTGAACAATACTTTTGAAATCTGGACATACCTATATCATTCGGATATAAAGACAGTTAAATTAACTTTTGAACACTTAAAAGCAATGCAACCACAAGATAATCGTAAGAATGCTGACTTAGGGCAGCACCGATTTTTAGTTGGATTTTACGTGAAAATAACGGAAGTATTTCTGGTAAGTCTGATTATATATATTCTCTCATCAATGTCAAAGATTTTCCTATTTGCAGTATAAAACTCGCGATGGTCATGTGACATTGGGCGGCCGGATTGGACTAATGTTGCAGGAGCTAATGCACTATATGAACGGGACAATGGACTTTTTGACCCTTTCATACAGTGAATATCAGAAAGTAATGAACGGAGGCTCTATAGATGATCGCTCCATTAATATTTTAGCCAATCTGGAGCCCTGTTCGTTTGTGGATCCATACATTCCATTTTTAATGACCACACGAATTTGTCTGATTGTGCCTTATAGACGCAAAGTTCCTTTGCAGAGCTATATTTCTTACTTCGACAAGCGGAAGACATTAGTCGCATTCATGTTATTTAATTTCATCGTCTTCGTTGTGATCAAGCGCATTGCCAATCCCCGCCAGCCGCTGAACGAGGTGCTCTTTGGAAGTTTTCGGCTGCTAATGTCACAAGCTCTGCCCACACGAATGTTTCGCGCCCTGACTCTCTCAGAGAGGATTTTAGAAGTCAGCACGCACACCTACAACTTGGTAACATTCAGCATCTTAGTCAGCGTTTTGGCAATGGCTCTTATCGCAGGCCTGCAAATGCCAGACATCGTCGACGACGAAACATTTTTGGCCAGTGGTCTCCGTATCTTGGTGCATTCAGAGCAGGTGGATAACCTCTTCAATGACATTCCGCTGAGTCTACGAAATCGCCTAATTGTGGTGGACAGGCAGACGTGGCTCGAGCATTTGAACAGCCTGAACGATTCGTACGCCTATGTGATGATGTCGCACACGTGGCTCGGCTTCAAGCTAAAGCAAAATCGTTTGCGCCTTCCTAAGCTGATATTGGGCCCCGACAAATTGTGTGGCGTACCGCGTTATATGAGGTTCTATGTACAGCCAGGCGTATTGCATTTGAAACCAATGAAACAGTTCCTAAGCCAAGCATTCGAGGCGGGCCTAACCGAGAAATGGACTCATATGGGATTTGCTCAAGCGGAGGAAATGGGCCTGATTAGATTGGCACCCCACGATCTGCCGAGCTTTTATCCACTGCCCATCGACTTCTACCACGGCACCCTTTTGTTATATGCTATTGGTAACCTCACGAGTATTGTAGTTTTTTTGCTGGAGTGGCTGTACCATCGCTGGAATTATATTCGCAATAAACATATTACGGTTTAAGTATTAGATTGCTTAGCGAATATATATAGATTATTATACAGATCTATATATGATTTTCTTTAACACTTTTAAGCACTCCAATAAATATTGCACATGTTGCGCACTTAAGAAAAACGATATACGCTTTTATAATAGATTGCTGTACATTTATAAAAAAAAAGTCTGGTAAACTGTGAATGTATCGTATGCTCATCAGATCTTATAGACAAATGTGTGCTATACAAAATCTGAATATGTTCTCATAACAAAACGAAAGGTAATATATATATATAATTTGGTCTAATTTTCATAATTTTATCTTTAAATTTTAATTAAGAATTTCATTAGATTTATGGTCATATACTTACAAAATCTTTATATAAGTAACGTTTATCTGGAGCTAAATAACTAATTTAGAGCCTGAATACCCTAGATTTTTTTTTTTTGCTCTACTTTAGTAAGCGAGATAAAATATATGTATTAATGATATTGTGAGAGTCTAAATTATAGGCTCTGCTAGACGATGAGCATGATATAGTAATTGCCTCTTTATATTCGCAATTCAGATTTTCCAACTGTACCGACAACACGCAACTATCTATACTATAAAGTCTATCAGATATATGTTAGACGTTTAATTTGTCGGCTTTATTTTTGGTTTATTGTTAGGGTGTATGCATCGATAGATCTTTGTCTTATTTCAGCAGCTTGGCATAATGTTCTTTGTGAATGAACTTGTAACGCCAGACGAAGCTGTGAATAGAAGTGAAAATTAGTTAGAGTGGAAGCCATTCGAGTCTGCGACTCACCCGATTGCAATAAACGCCACCAGGAAGAGCGCAGCGCTGACAAAGTTGAAGAGGCCGGGGCAAATAGACAGCGAGTGCTGATAGATGAGGGTGTACAGCGGTGCAGCGACTATTGAATGGAAATTGTATCAATGTAAAGTGTGTTAGATGTGCAGGTGACACGCTCTTACCAAAAGGTGCAAAGGATTGGAAAACATTTTTGATGGAGAAAATTTTACCTGCAAAGTTGGGGATAATATTGATTATTAGAGCAAACATTCAATGGATTGTGGACTTGCCCAAATCGGAGGCGGGTACTATATTCGAGACGATGGTGCGGCACATGGGCCCGCCAATGGAACGGAATATGCCAAGGGCAATCGATAGGTACATGTGCCAGGGCAGCATGGCAAAGCCCCTGGTCAGATTGCTCAGTATTTCCGAGCCGAGCGAGAGCAGCGCCAGCGTCACCACAGACAGGCCAAAGACCTTGAAGTCATCAAATACACATATTTACACAGCTGACACACTGAGCAACTCGAGCACCTACCTTGCGCAGCATCAGGAATCCAATCAGGGCGCCCAGCATGGGCACAACTTGGCTGATGGTCTCAAAGAATGTGAACTCGCGCACAGACCAGTGAAACTTTTGGCGCACAAACAAGTACATGACGGTCATGGCACCATCTAAACGACAATTTGATACGAGCATTGCGAATTGCTGCAGTTGTCCAGCTGTCCAGTTTTTGGAGAACTTACCAACAACGAACATGGACATGAACATGGTCAAGGTAACCAGCCAAATGATTTCGCGTGCGTGATGCTCACGTGGCTTGCAGCACGTCTTGAACATCTCCTTAATGTGCGTCAGGCTGAACAGACCCACGTTTTGGGGCTCGGGCTCAGATATCATCTCGGCCTTTTCAGAGTCCGTGGCTTTCGGCTCCTTCTTATCGTCCAAATGTATTTCGGTGGTGCAGAGCTCGCTCGCTGAGCTCTCCTTCTTGTTCTCGTTTGCTGTCAGTCCAAATAAAACAATATTTTTGCCATCTGGCTGCGCTTCAGGCTTTGAATCGGATTTTTTGGCTGTGGGATTTGCATCTTTATCCAGCTCTCTCTTTGCATCAATGGTGCAGACTGCATTCAGTTGCGTATCGCAGACAATATTGGGTAAGTCCTTTTCGCCTTTGCCGGCTTGCTCGGCTTCCTGTTTGGCATCTTTATCGAGGCGTATGTGCAAGCTCTCTGGCAAATAGAAGATGATAAATAGAGTGGCGAACACGATAATTGCCGCTGAGATGCCCTGGGTAATAGAGGCGCTCGTGGCCTCATACACATAGCTGGACAACAAAGAGCCGCTGCTGAGCGCTATAAACACCAGAAACTCGATGGCAATCATTCTGTGGGGTGGACGAGAAACAAAGAGCATAAGAATTAAGAAAATCAATACAGACCCAGGCTTATGCAAGTTTAAGAGGATTCTCAATACACTCAAAAATGCATATAGAAATTTCTCCGAGTGTATGCGCACCTGTAGGGCCTGTTCTTAACGTCTGTGATGTCCGAGAGAAAACAAAAGGCAGCCACTGAAAAGACACACATGCCGCCCAGCAGGGAGTGCGGCACTGCTGCCAACGTATACCACCAGGGATTAATGTCGTGATGGCTGGATAGCGCACAAATGAAGGTAGTTATGAGAGCCGAGCCAGCGAAGCCTGCAAGGGTATTAAAGGCTTAGAATTGTGAAATCTCAAGCTCGGTGCATTGCCAACCAATCATTGAGACGATGAGCAGAGGCTTGCGTCCATAGTGATCCGACCAGGAGCCAATGAACAGGCCACACACGGCTGGCACAATGCTCTCCATTAGCGTGCGCGTGAGGAACATGTCGGCCACATACGACTGAATCTCCGTTTCAATGGCCTGGAATCCTAATGGTATATGAATAATTCTCTTACGCATGGCTTGATTAGTTCTGATGCACCTACATGGATCTCGGGGCTGGCCTCCTTGTCGTCCAGGTGTCTGCAGTCGGACTCATTGTAATGGAAAATCACTCTGCATGTCTGATAGATAATCTGATTGCGCATTACAACGCCTGCGGAATGTTGGTAATTAATTAATTATAAAGAGTTACGTATATGTATGCTTACCTGAGAGCATGTGCGAGAAGATGAGCATGACTACAACTGGCTCTATATAGAACATATAGAAGAGATCGCGCCATGGCAGACTTTTCAGCTTGTCTACGGCCGCACCAATTGAATTTTTCTCCACCATTGCATTTATTTCTTATGCAATCTTGAAATATATTAAATGATATTTAAATATTCACTCAGTCATTTGTCACAAATTTTATACAATTATTTAGATTTGATTTCCTAGCCAATGTTTCTATTTTCAATTGTACATTTATCTATAATTATATGTCCGACACGCTCGTTGCACACCGTCGATGTCCGAGAGATGCCTCCTAAGCCCAAACTATTCACTGGGCCAACACGAAACCGGTTAGATCGCGTCGGCTATTCGAACTGAGCCGGTGCCAGTCAGAGTCAGAGCTAATATAGAATGAAACTGGCTGGCAAATCGGTTTTAGGGGAACTTTTCTGAACAAACAGTTGAGCTAGAGCACGCCACTGCCCATTGGCATGAGCCGTGATGATGGCTCAAGTAATCAAAATAATCTGATATTCACAATCGGAATAACATACTATTTAAGCGACTTTTTTTTTATATATTTAATTGTCAAACTGTGCGAAAATAACAGCAATTTTAATATATGTCTATGCTCAAATCGTTCTCTTTGCCCTTGTAAAGGCAGGCATGTGTCAAATTATCAATATTGATAAATAATATGTATTTTTTATTCATAGTTATTTATGTTATAAACACATTTTTTAAATATTTTTTGTTTTCTTTGTATAGAAGCAATTATTTTATAATACATTTGGCATTTAAATTACATGTTGTGTATTTAGTGGCACGAAGAGTGTATGAATATTTGTCGCGTTTCATCATAAACGTGCAAAAAGAAATCGCTAATTTGGAATTTCCACAGAATATATATACATATATTTATATGTTTATATACTCTGTTCTACTCACTTCAGCCGAAAGGTTCGGCCATTTCGAATGCTCAGTTACCTTTAGACTTCCAAATGTGCCTTTTCTTTGCTTTTTTCTCATTCCAGATAAATAGAGAAATAAATCTGTATCAAATTCAAAAAATGAAGTGTAATGAAGTGTATTTAACTAAAATCAATTTATGGTTCTTTTTTTTCCCCAGACAATTTTAATTATATTTGGGCTCTGCTTTTGTATAGATATTCACTTTTCGTTTTACTTATGTATAAACAGCTGCTTCAGTTGCTCAATAGATGAGCAACATGAACAAGCATAAACAAAATCAGAGTGAAAACCTTCTTCATGGGAATCGAAAGTTCGTGGAACTGAGCTCGATGAAGGTTTATATACACAGTTCATCAAATGACTGGGAATACAGACAAACGACAGGAAGTTGACTTCAAAGTGAATTGCTGCAATATTAAATTGATCAAATAGAAAGGAAAAGTCATGAACGTTTGCCACATTATGCAGTTGCATAATTAATTGAAATGAAGCAAAAGTCTTGAGGTAAAATGGAATGCAAACTTTGACCAGCTGCTGGCTGCCTTTGGAGCTATCCTTTGGCAGCTGTTGCATTGCATTGCGACGGCAACCGCAGCTGCCACGCCTCAAAGTAAGTGAAGGTGCTGCATAAAATATGCATAAGGAATTGCAAATAATATTTTCAAGCTGCTTTAATTGGCAATTTTGTTGCTACGGGCGAGAATTTGAAAGCCACAACATATTTTTGTTCCATATACTCTTTCAAGGGGTTTCAGTGTGAGGTTTTGAGGTTTTGGATATTGTGGCATCAATGAAAATATCAAGCGTTGCTCTTTGCGGTTGCAATAAACGGTTTTGCATGGCTGACTTAATTGCCAGCTCGTGTTGCAGCTGAGTGCATATTACGTATACGCAACGTAGTCGGCTCCGCATTTGTTGACAAGCCAATTTGTAAAGTTTTCCGCACAATTTTCTGCACATTGTGTGACCATCTAGTGCAAGCGGCCAGCGACTTTTGCCGGCATTTAGGCAACCCAAGCAAAAACATGCTGCATACGTGAAAACAAGCTCATGCAACTATTGTCTCTCCACTCGCCGGCAACATGCACTGCAAATGTTTTGCGTTTTGTGTTCGGCTTTTGTCCGCCACTGGAAAAACAAAAGCCCTACAAACTGAAAGCGCTCAACAGGGCATTAGAGTCTTACACAGGTGGAGAGAGAAGAAGACAGCAAGCAACAGCAATCAACTTCTCCATACTCTGTCAGTTTGTGGGGAGCAGATGGAGCTAACCATCCACAGCGGAAGATGAATATAAATAGAAATTCTCGGTTTGTTTCTTACAGTTGTGTTTTTTCAACAAATATTATTCTTTAGGTATATGTGCAAATGGTATACTGCCGTTCCATTTCGTTTGCAGGGTATGCAAATAAAGGGAAATAATTGCACAAGCGGCAAAACACAAAACATAAAACATAAAAGGTCAAGACGCCGTCGCATCAAGTGTTGGCAAGAGTGGGCAGAAAAGCAATTTCTTAAGGTCAGCACGTGCCTAAATTCATTTTTTCGCTGTCCTTAATTATTTCGAAATGAAACGAACTAAAGGGCCCAAAAGCGCAAAAAGTGGCCAACAATTGGACAACTCTTGGCCAGATACCTGCCCGAGAATTTCAATGGAATTTTGCTTGGCCCGAGACAGTTCCAGTTCCAGTTGCTTGGCGTACTTTATGTATATCATTTGCATGTTTCTCTTGTATTCACCGTTAGAGGCAGCCACCAGGCCTTGGGCGGCTTGAATATAGAAATAAAAAACATAGAAATAAATATTTAAATAAATTTTAAATGTAAATATGAGAAAATATTTATAAATATTTCATGATATATATGATATATGATAAATAAATCATATACTGAACTTACTGTGCTGCAAATTATAGATAGTTATATATGCTATAAATATAAGGACACTAATTTTACTCAAACTGAATCTAAAGAGCAGCCCTTAACCCGTCTTTCTTTAATTTCCGGCTAATTCCATTCTCTATGCGCTCGATGAATTAAAGCTGTTTTGTGCGCCTGTCGGCATGAATTTTAATTTGGGTATTGTCTTTGCGCAAATTATAAACAATTAAGAGCCCCTTTTTTGAAGAGGGTTTGCGTCGAGTACTTTGCAATTAGGCAATGGGCATTAGCGAGTGGGAAAGTTTTTAAGCCGCTTTGAGCCGTTGCAGCTGCGTCGCCCTTTTATGAAATTACAAATTTCAATTCAGCGCTCAAAAACCAAACTTTGAATCAATGTCTGCTTATTTCTCCCTTTATATTATGCTCTTCTTTTAATTGGCTCCGGCTTGCGGGCTTCAGAGATCTGGCCAGCGAGCTTTTTTTAGCCAAGTCCGCTAATTGTTGGCGCGGCCAACGTTTTGCGGCCGGTAAGCTTCACAACTGACAGCCTCAAATTGGCAGCTGCACTTTGTGGCCACATCAAATTGGACAGACTGAAAGCCAGACATTCACTGGCCTTTCGTATAGAATGTACTGCATGGACAGGGATTTGAATACCTAATTAGGCATTACATCAATTTATAACTGATTAAAGTTCAATTCAGTTTCCATTCCATTTTAAGCTCATATTGGGCTCTATGCTCTTTGTGGTTTAGCATTAAATATTGAATAATGCGTCGTTATGTAAATTAGGGCGTGATATGTTGAGTAATTTGAATTTAATGCAGCCATAGACTGAAAGAGTGAATTATGGATATTTGTGTTTTAGTGCCAGCTAATTGCTAATATAAATTACTGGGGATTATGTTCAATAAATGATTAAAATATAAAGCTTCTACATAAAGAATTTCCAGCTGTAAAAAGGACAGTCAGAAAAAAAAGTAATGTAAAAAAATATATATATATATATATATATATATATATATATTTAAATAAATGTTTTTTACTAACTTTTATATTTATATAAATATAAAATGAATTTTCAATTTACATATGTGAATGACTTCCTGTAGATCAAGACTCATATAGTTTAGCCTATAAGTCGTGTCCAATTGGGAGACTCAACACGTTCAATTATACTCCGTTAACCCACTTTTATATATTCATTTTGATTCAGCTTTTTATGGCCATCAGTGGGATAAAAACGGCTTCCGCCTGTTACACACACATTTGTACAGCTTTATGATACACCGAATTTAATGTCTCTCGAGCTTAAACAAAGCAATTCTAAAGGAGTCTGCAGCTGCGGGCAGACCTCACGTTGTTGCGGCTGATAAATTTACGCTCATTTAATAAATTGCTTATGAGCGCTTTTACAAATTTTTGGCGCAGCGGCGCAGCTACACGAATAACCCGAATTACTCAAAGCAAATGTAGTGGAAGCATGTATGTGAATATAATAGATATACTCATGCACAGTTATATATTTATATAAATAGATGTTTGCTTTGTGGCCTGTTAAATTAATGAAGTTTCGCTGTGAACGCGTCCGGCTTTGATTACGCGCAATTTGTCTAAGCCGAGTAGAGCGCCATCTGTTGGCGGTTTGTTTGTTTTGGTATGTAGGTTAATATGGTTAGGTTTTATATGTACACATGATGAATGTAATCTATATATCATCTATTTCTGGACACATCTACCTCGTTAACTTGCCTGCAGTCAGTTCTATTCGTCAGTTATTCATGATTTCTGATAGGGATATATACAAAAGCCAAATGCCTGTGGAACAGCGCCTGAAATGGAGAATATAACTTGACATATGATATATCTTAAGGCCCCCTATTAAGAGTATTAAGCAATAGATGTCGACGGAGTGAAAACAAATCACATAATTCGTGCTGCAGTTGTCTGCGTTGCTGCATTGGGGCTTGCGTGTTATGCTGCCGTTTGACTATTGGCATGGAAACTGGGGGTTTGGGCCAATGCGGGATTCGTAACAAGAAAACTCATAAGTATTTTACATACAACATTTATGCAGTTCAGTGACTCCGCAATGCGTCTCAAATAGCGATAAGTCGCACGTATTTGTTTTCCATTTACATATGCGAGCAATTTGCTTGTGGATATTCATCTCATACTCTACTGCCATTTCTTCTTCACCTTCTTCTGCTTCTTCATCTACTTTTTGGCAGCTTAAAAAAGTTTTCATAATCATAACTCTGTCACATTTTCCATTGTCTGGCATTTCACG